TGCTGAGACCGAAAGGCATGACAACAAACTCGTAATGGCCGTAACGAGTCCTGAAAGCGGTCTTAGCGATATCTGACTCCTTGATCTTCAGCTGGTGGTAGCCTGATCGCATATCAATCTTCGAGAACACACAGGCTCCCCTCAGCTGATCAAATAAGTCATCAATCCTGGGAAGCAGATACTTGTTCTTGATCGTCAACCGGTTAAGATCCCGGTAGTCGATACATATGCGCATGGATTCGTCCTTCTTCTTAACAAAGAGAACGGGCGCTCCCCAAGGTGACACACTTGGTCGGATGAAACCGAGTCGTAACAGCTCCTGAATCTGCTCCTTAAGCTCCTGCAACTCCTTAGGCGCCATACGGTACGGGGCTTTGGATACTGGACCGGCCCCTGGAATGAGATCGATAGAAAACTCCACCTGTCGGTCGGGCGGTCCTCCTGGAAGCTCGTCTGGGAATACGTCCACAAACTCTCGAACGACTGGAACATCGTGAGGTGAACGTGCTGTCTAAGAATCATCAACGAGGCTCACCAGATAACCCTTGCAGTTACCTCGTCGCAGCAACTTAGTGGCTTTCGCCATAGAAACAACATGAGGCAAAGAACGATTTCTGGAGCCGAAGAAAGTAATCGACTCATCTCTCGGAAGATAAAGAGTAATCTCCCGGTCGTGACACTTGATATCTGCGTGATAAGAGGATAGCCAATCCATTCCGAGAATAAGGTCGAAGTCCTTCATCTCGAGAACAAACGCGTCGGTAGGCAAAACTCGGCCACCGATGGAAAGGCTAAGATCTGAGGCTTTAGCTGATGTCACTATCTTTCGTCCCGAGGCCAAACTCACCTCAAGAGGATCGATAGCGGTAGTAGCGCGAACTCCGATGGCGTCAAGACATCGTCGTGAAATGAAGGTATGTGTCGCTCCAGTATCAAATAAAGCAAACACAGGAACATTATTAAGAATAACCATTCCGGACATGGTACCTGGCTGCTGCTCTGCCTCTGCCTGATCAATGGCATAGACTCTGCCCTGCTGTCTACCCCTCTGCTGCTGCTGCTGGGGCTGCCTCTGGGCCTGCTGACGGGGCTGCTGCTGCTGCGGTGGCTGCTGAGGCTGCTGAGGCTGCTGAGCCTTCTTCGGACAATGGTTCGCAAAGTGTCCGGGCTCATGGCAGTAGTAGCACACATCCTGACCAAAGCGACACTCGCCTCGGTGATGTCGTCCACATGTCGGGCACTGTGGAACCTGCTGAAGCCTTCGTCGAGCCCTCTTATCTGTCTGGGCACCCTTATCCTTCCTCTTGTTATTCTTGGGCGGCTGGGTAGATGGCAAAGCTGACGTCGGTGGAACTGAAGACGAATGGGCACGAACGGCCTCCCTTCTGATACTAGCATCCACCTCCTGAGCAATGGAGACTGCTCGAGCATACGTCTGTGTCCCGTGGCCTACGATGTTATGATGGACTGCTGGGCAAAGTCCGTCAATGAAACGCTGCGCTCGCTGGGCCTCCGTGCGGACCAGATCAGGAACAAAAGCTGCAAGTCTCGTGAACTCCCTCTCGTACTCGTCGACAGTACGAGTACCCTGCTGGAGCGATAGAAATTGACGCTCCATCTCTGCTCGGTAGTAGGTGGGATAGTACTTCTCACGGACTAAGTCCTTGAACATCTCCCACGTACATCCTGCTTTCTCACCGGGGCGCATGCCCCAGTAAGCGTTCCACCAGAGCCTAGCATCTCCGGTGAGCTGAAGCTGAGCGCAAATGACGCGATACCTCTCAGGGCACTCCATGACCTCGAAGATAAACTCCAGGCCCTGAATCCACTCGTCAACTATGCGAGGGTCTCCCTGCCCTGAGAACTTCTCGGCATGGTAATCGCGGAACTGAGCGACCACGGTAGCCTGAGTTGGTGCCATCTGAATATTGAGGAGATTCAAAGTTATAGAATGCATGAGGATATTATGACTGATTTCTAAGGCACACAAATCTCTTGACGAGTAGCCAAAAATGGCGATAAATACTGACATGAATCCTGAGGAACTCTAGAGTCATACTGAGGATACTAAAGTCTAGAGTCATATTGATCATACTGAATTCTAGAGTCATATCTGAACTCTAAAGTCTGAATCTGAATTGAGCATCTTAACTTAAGTCTGATTACTGATTTCTGAGCATAGACAAAGTAATATGTTTATAACTGAAAAACTGAATCAGCACTTACCTGGTGTCGGTGAGGCGTGAGCGTGACGGTTCAGGTTTTTCTGAAAATTTTTGAAAATTTCTGACTGAAAAACTTTTCAGAGACGCAAAAATGCGCTGTGATACCAAGCTGTAACACCCCGCTTCTTGTAATACATCAGAGAGCGCGGTTTTTCGCAAATTTACTGAATACTTAAATAAAATACTTATTTTTGCGAAACTGATCGGGATGCTACCGTGAAAACTTGACTTTTCTGAAAAACCGTTAAAATTTTAAACTGGTAAATAAAAACGGTTGTAATGTCTTATCCGACAACATCAGAACAAAGTCTGATAAAAAGTACTGAAAAGTTTTTAGCGGAAGTCTAGCGTGGCAAAAACATAAAATACAATAAACATGAATATCCTGAACAGCTCGCCCGCTCACTCCTCATCACCGACCCTGCGACCTGAAAAACATGAAAGATGTGGGGCGTGAGCACTAAGGCACTGTGCTCCGCAGAAACTCATGCTAATGTAAAACATCGTAAATAATAACTATATCATGAACTGAGCATATATAACTGAACTGAACTGATATTTGATAACTTATAACTGATAACCGGTCTAATCTCGCGACATAAGTAACGTAACTGATAACTGAATCTCGCAACATAAGTCGCGTAACTGATAACTGAAAATCTCCCGGCAAAACTAACACCGGACCATGTGCACACTCTAGAGGCTAGATCAGGCCACTAAAACTCAGAATGGACCAGCGACCATCCCGAGCGGTATCTGAATATACATACCTCGACCATTGTCACGTAATTATAAACTATGTGATACTTAGTCTGAGTCCCCACCTGAATTTGCTGAAACTGAACTGAAAAGGTAGTGCTGATGCCTGATCAAACTGAAAAATAATATAAACAATTACTATTGACTATGCTCAGACTGATAAATTTAACTGTTTAATTATGTTAAGATGCTCTAACGAATCTGACATGGTATTCGGACTTAATCGATATAACTGAAATCGGCTAAGTACGGAACTGATCTGAAACTAATTAACTGAACTGAACTCGATCCGGAATTTAACTGGGAACAATACTGAAACTGAGAACCCGGACTGAAACTGAAAATATCTGACTGAACCGGATGAAACTGATGCTGAACCGGTCCAGCCGGTCCGAACCGGTCTGGACCGGACTGCGGTCCAACCGAACCGGTGATCGGCTGGGCTCGGCCAGCAGCCTGTCGCGTGCAGC